CCACTAGCCAAGAAGTCCCGCAATCGGGAAGAGCACTTACAGTTTTTAACGCAGTGAACCACGAGGGACCGAAAGGCATTCCACCGAGTGCCTAGCGGCATGGTGGCAGATTTACAAGGCTCTACCCTGGACAGATAACCCGAGCGGACATCATGACCCGTTGGCGAAAACATATCCGCTGCCTCGCGGGCAGGGCTTCTTGGCCACGACCCCGCAGATACGTGGCGTTTTCACTTTCGGATGTCCCGCGCGGAACGTATCCGTACGACGGCGTATCCGCGGGCTCGCGCCCCGGAATCCGGACTTTGAGGGCGCGGACCTAGATATTTTCGCCGTTCGTGAGTTCTTATTGCACGGTGGCGACCATGGTCCAGAGCGTAGCATCAGTTGGTCAAACAGATCATTGGTGCGGGGCGCAAGGGGTTTCGAGAGTTTTCGACCCCTCGCAGCAGAGCATGCGGGGCGAGTCACAAAATATCAAGGTCGTGCGCGAGCCACTGTTTCTGCGAGCTGTAGGGGTGGACGGCACTTCATGAATCGTCATCAAGGAGGGGGCTAGCATAAGCAGACTAGACGTTCGCTGGTCGAGCTCATGTTATGCTTCACGTCTGTAGGGCGCGCGAAAGCTTGGGGCCATGAGAGCTTCAGAGCTTCAAGGTGTGTGCGAGAATGCAGTATTGCATTTTTGCTCAGAATTGTAGCGCCGTTGTTGTAGGCCAGAGGACATCAACATATGTAGACGGTTTCGATCAGTTTCAATTTGCGTTTGACGCTTGGTGCACGTGGGTCCGTGGAGGGCGTACATGCACATATGTCACATGGTTTGTTTTGCTCAGTAGAAGCGGTCGAACCATTATTCGATCAGCGATGGCACACGCGGTGCCGGATTGAGTTTGAAGTGTCTACTCCACGCCGTCCCTGTTATCCGAAATAGTGACGGCGCCTTGAGCAGCAGGTGGTACTTACAAGCAGCACCGCCCCGTGTTAACGAATTTCAGCGCGTGTCGTTCAATTCTAGGCTTGGCCTTGATTCTCGATGTCCTGCGCGTTTGGGCAGCTCCGTATAGCTTCAGCATCAGTTGGGCGTCGCTTGCCTAAATAACGGCGGCGCGCCCATCCTTTTTTCCAAGTCGCCAGGTAGATCGCAGCGCATATTTCTAGTTCGACCATTGGATTGAATCATATGAAAGATGGCTCCGGCCATGATTTCCTCTGCCCCAGGCGCCAGACAACCGGAGCCCATGTAGCAGATGTTGTGCCCATGTCACTGATGCGCAGCCTGGGGCCAATGGGCCCGTCGGCCCACGACACGGTCACTCATGCACGGGGCCGTTTTGCCCTTGTGCAAGTGGCCCCCAGAATCTAGGCCTCTCAAGTCAGGTCCGATTTGATGGGGCAGGAGGATCGCGCCACGTCGCAGATGCATCGCCGATGCGGCTTGATGTGGAGGCCGATTCTCCCGGCGCCGATAGCCCCGAGGTATCGCCGACGTCGCCGATGCAGCGCCGATACATCGGCGCTGCATCGTCGACGTATCGGCGATGCGGCGCGCGATCTTCCGACCACATTGTCCGAACCCATTTGGGAGGCCTCTCCCCATTTGGGAGGCCTCTACACAAGTACGTTGGAATTGGTATTGGTGATTGCTTGGACACGGCCAGCTGCACCAGGAAAAAGCATCGGGCGCCAGTGTTGAGGGCAGTTGCGGCGACATGTTAGCATTCGCGGAGGATGCCGGCATCAGAGTCAGCGTGTACGGCAAAGTCGTGGTACATTCCGAGGAGTAGAATCAAGGGGGGTCATAACCACCCGTACCCGATAATTGTTTTTTAGACGGTTTTGGGCGTTTATTCTACAGCCTTGCCCTGTTAAATTTGTTGGGGTGCGTTTACTAAACGGCCTCGCTTGTCGGGGTAGTTATTATGGGGTGTGGATGTTTTGCCTTTTATAAAAGGCGGCATAAGCATACACCTTCGGAGTTCCAGGCAGAAGCTTTGGATCTGCGCTGGGCTCCACGAGCCAGGGAGGGGGCCCACCGACGATCCAAGAACTCAGCGCGGACTTTTGAAAGTTGATGTTTGTGCAGGCCTTTGTTCCGCTGCTCCTTGGTATCGCTGTGCCACTCTATGCTATACTGCCGACGGTTCGGTTCGCCATTGCTCTACGTTGAGTTGGGTGTTGACCGTGTGTGCGTATATGTTGGGGACAGCAGCTTACTGACAGACCGATCTGCCCCAGAGGGTTGCACCATCATCAGAGTCGCGTGTGCATGGTTCCAGTCGCCGCGTGTGCGTGGTTCCAGTTGCACATAACAGGGCAGCATAACATGTCATCGCAGCATAACATGTCATCGCGTTGCACAAGTCAGCATTTGTCACTCACTTGTCTGTCACACCTGTCGCGATGGGCGCCCCGATCCAATGCCATAGAAGCTGGAGGCAGAGGCAATCGTTGCTTCGGTTGGATCCAGCTGCGCTGCCGCGCATATCTGCCACCGCGCTTGGGGACGCTGCGCTGCAATGCTACATCGTGGCACGCGCGTGTCGTTTCAATGTTGTCGCATTGACTTTTGGGTGTATGTCGGTGGCGTCGTTGGGGCCTGTCGGGGGTCTCTTCTTGGGGGACTTCTTTTGGCACAGTCTTGGGCCTTCTTGGGGTGTTGTGTCGGGGGCCTTCTTGGGGTGTTGGGTCAGTCTTGGAAGGTATTGCATCTATTCGGGACGAAACTTGGCCGTTGTGTGGGGGCCAGCTGAGGATTTCTGGGGCCATCTCAGGTCGTCTTGGATACCTCGGGGGCCGTGTGGAGGTATCTCAGAGGTCTCCTGCGCCCTCTCGGAAAGATGAAGCCTAGATCGCCCGCGGGGGGGCGAAGATACTCGAGCTTCGCGCGTCGCGATCTATGCCGGGGCTGTTGCCGGTCTCCAGTGGAGGCGGCGCGAGAGCGCGCGGGCGCGAAGGTGATCGCGCATCACGGGGCGCGATGCGCGAAGTTGGGAGACCTAGGAAGTTCATTCTGGAGCCAGCTGAAGCAAAGCAAAACGAAGGGTCGCATGGTAAGGCTACGGGTGGCGCACAGACGCCCCCCAGTGAGTCCCAGCTGGCCCCAGCGGTAGTCCCAGCTGGCCTCGACAGGCACCCGAGCCCAGGGCGGTCTCAACGTCCCAAGGGGGCCCCAGGGGCTCCCAGATGGAGCGAGCAGCTGGGGGGACCCTGGGCCAGGAGCACCTCCAGCAACCCCGACAAGATGGCCTCAAGACGGCCCAAGATGCACTGCAGGCGGCCCAAGATGGCTTCAAGATGACCCCAGACGGCCCCCAAGAGGCCCCCAGGCCGACTCAAGGGGCGGCGGTCCTGTAGAGGAGTTAGTCATGTTCGATCGCATGGCTGCGCATGGGCTGCAAGTTCTCGTGTGTGTGCTCGCCCCCTCGGAACAGCGAGCCGCTTTACCCCTTCGTGCCTTTGGCCATTCGGCTCAGGCCACCTCGAGGGCCCCCCAGAGGTTCTTGGACAAGAGGCAGCATCCTCCCTCTGACGCTTCTCCTGCCTCCTCAGCTGCTTCTGCCCATGCCACCTCCATCGCGCTTCTCGTCCCGATCTCAATATGCTGCAGCTGGAGCTCCTGCTGCTGCTGCTGCTGGTGTTGCTCCTCCCCTTCTTCCCCAGAACTTCGACTTCGTGGATTGTATCACGAGGTGGGCCCCCAGAGATCGGGACCCCCTCGGGCAGCACCGGTGTGCCATCCCGGGCTACTTTCTCGCCGGTTCTGAGGCCCAGCGAGCGCCCCAGGATGCCAAACATAACGCCGTCGTTGTTTTGTTGTGCTGTGTTTTTTTCCACATCGAGAGGTGGTGGGCGCCCCTCCTGCTTGGCGGGACTTCTCCGGAGCTCACCACCTACCAAACCACCCCAACCCAACCCGAAGGCCTCAGCTTGCCCTCCATTTCCAGTGGGGTGGGTGGGTCGGGCAACATCGGAAAACACATATGGGGCCCATACCGCGCCCAACCCGAGATGCGGGTCTTCGGGTTGGGTTGGGGTGGTCTGGTAAGTAGTCAGGAGCCCTCAGGCCTGGTGTGAGGAGCCGTCTGTGCATTCGGAGAAAAGGCGTAGAACATGCCTCAGAAGGCTGGAGGCCTCCCGAGTCTTCTGGACAGGCACGCCCCCTCGGATCGGGCCGGACGATGGGTGGGGGATACTTCAGGAAGGGGAGGACGATGGGTGGGGGATAATTCGGGAAGGGGGGGTGTACGAAATCTGATGCATGCAGCTGGTTTCCGCCCCGCTGCTGGGCCCCTTCCTCCATGACTGGGCGCCTCCTCCCGGCGACAGGAAGACCAGCTGCACGAGCCGATTCTCTTTACCCTGCCCTTGGCTATCCCAGCCTTCCGTACCCCCCGATCTCACTCCGCCCTGGTTGATTGCCTGGCGGACGAACCAAAGTGGTGTCATTTTGCGACCACAATTGCGCTCGACGGCCGCGCTGCACACTGACCTTCTTGCCCTGGCGCTACACTGTTTCAGCTGCCCGCGCGCCGAGTGGCGCACGGCTTCTCTCGCTCGCTCGCCCCCCTGGGCTCGCCGCCAAGTCGTGCCTCTTTTGATTGGCCTGCTTTCCACCACCACCACCATAACCTGAAGGGGCGAGGGGGTCCTCCTCCCCTCTTCTTCCTCCTCCTCCTCTTCATCTTCCACCTCCTTCCCACCTCCAACTTACGGAGGTGGTGGCGGCGGAAAACAGGCCCATCATCCTTCGCTGCCTGCCTCTGCTGCCTCTGCTGCCGCCCGAGGCTCCAGCGTGCGCGCGCGCTCGCCCTCTGTATTAGGTCGGGCCCGTCCCTCTACAGGGGGGATCATCAAGAATAGCCAAAAAATAGTCCAGGGGCGATGTTGTTTGGCTATTTTCTATGTTTGATTGTTTTGGGGCGTATTTTTTGTGATGCATTTTGTTCGCCCCAAATCCCCCTGTAGCGGGACAGACCCGACCTAGCCCTTTGCGCGAGGTACCGGGCCCGCGCGGCGGCTTGGAGGCAGAAGCTGGAGGAGCTGGAGGGCCAGGCCGCCCCGGGGTCGTCCTGCAAGCAGTGGCGCAGCGTCCTGGCGTGCCTGCCAGATGGGGTCGGAATAGATGGGGTCGAAGGAACGCGCTGCATCTCCGATGCATCGCCAATGCGGCTCGATGTGGAGCCCGATTTTCTCCGCTCTGCCGTCGCCTATGCATCGCCGACGTCGCCGATGCATTCCCGATGCATCGCCGATGCATCGCCGATGCATCGCCGATGTATCGTCGATGCGGCGCGATCCTCCGACCCCGTCTACCCCGACCCCATCTAGGAGGCCTCTAGTCCTGGCGTGCCTGCAGGCCCACCAAAGAGTGTTCTAAGACCCTTTTGTGGCTCGCACGGACTGTTCTTAGAACATCACCACCCACCAAACCACCGCAACCTAACCCGAAGGCCTCAATCTGCCCTCCATTTCCTGTGGGGAGTGGCGCAGCGTCCTGGAATCTGGGCGCCCGAAATGGGTACGGAAAGAATGAGTACAATGCCCAACAGCAGTTCCTGTTCATTTTGAACAGGACTCGCTGTCCGCGCCGCCGCGGCCTGTGTCCACTTGAGACAGAAGGCCGCCTGCCCAAAAGCGGCCGCTGTTGGTTTGGGACAACATGTGTTGTTGGGCATTGTACCCATTCTTTCGGTACACATTTCGGGTGTCCAAATGGCGTGCCTGCAGGCCCCACCAAAGAGTATCCTAAGAGCCTTTTGTGGCTCGCACGGACTGTTCTTAGAACATCACCACCCACCAAACCACCGCAACCTAACCCGAAGGCCTCAATCTGCCCTCCATTTCCTGTGGGGAGTGGGGGGGGGTCGGGGAACATTGAAAAACACACAGAACCCGTACCCTCCCACCAAACCCGAAATTCTGGTCAATTTCGGGTCTTCGGAGTGGGTTAGGGTGGTCTGGTAGGTAGCCAGAACATGTCTTGTTGGGGCTGTCTTGTTTTAACCTATCCGTCTTATGTTCCAGGAGTGAGCATGGTTTGCGTTCTTAGAACATTTTCGTGTTCTAAGAGCATATCCTGGTAGGCCTATAGGAATGCCCGGACGGTCGGTCCTTGCTCAAGCCATGTTCCTCCTGTTTGTAATTCCCTTCCCTAAAGGTTTGACGACGTTTCGCCAATCTATTTGCGCGGATCGAGCCATGTAAATCCAGGTAAGTGCAGATGAATGGAGGTACGTCCAAGTAGGTCTGGGCAAATCCAGGTAAATCCACAGATCTCCAAGGACATATTGAGCAAATCGTGACCGCTCCAGCGCGAGCCGATGGACGGCAGAAGTCGTTAAGCCCTCGACGATCCCCATTAATCACTTAGTCTCCGAGCACGTTCCAGTACTCGCAGAGTGCCTACTCGCAAAGGTCCGACAAACAAATAGGCGTCTGCCACGATTTAAGGGAATCTCCCTTGGTAGACCCAGGCCATTTGCGAGTACTTGACCATCTTGCGATTCGTGGAACGCGCTTGTCTTGACTAAAGTTAACACTCGCCGCTGACCTCTGGCGCCTCGGGGGGTCACCTGGACCGAGTTTGATCAATCTCTCAGTGCCGACCCGCCCCTGGGGGGGGGAGGCTACAATTAGAGGATCTTGCAGCCACGAGGAATCAGGAATGAGGCCGCCCCCCGCCCTCGGAGTACGGGTGTGAGGAGCACCGTGAGCCGGTGGCGAGCCCGGGGTGGACGTGCGAGGGGGCAGGCCTCCTCCGAGGGCGGGGCGTGCTCCCGAGGAGCCCCCCCCCGGGCTTTCTGAGAGGCCGCGTCCGTCTTCGGAGGAGGCTCGTCAGCTTCTCGGAAGGCGCGAGGGTGTTTGTCAGGAGGGAAAGAAACACACAGACACAATTAATCAGCGATTCCCCAGAAAATATGGGAAAATATGGGAAGTGGGGGGGAAGACGAAACCCCGAAAATATGAGAAAATATGGGGGAACTTTTTATTTGTGTGTATTTATTTGTGTGTCCCAGTTCCCCTTCAGTTTGGGAAGCGCCGCCGGCTTCTGAAGAGGCCTGTTCCCTCTCGCTTCCCCCCCGTTCTCGCCGCCGAATGAGGAGGAGGGAGGAGGGAGGAGGAGGAGGAGGGAGGAGGAGGAGGAGGAGGAGAAGGAGGAGGGGGGGCCAAGGCTGCAGGAGGCATTGCGGCCGCGTGGACGAATACTTGTCGTACTTCACTTGGGATGTTCCTGGACTGTCCTTCGCAGCAGGGAATCTGGAGCCGTTCGGTCACCATCACTGCTCCCAGGATGGTCCACAAATTGCAGCAGTCCTGGTGTGATCACGCGTGCTGCCTGGATCGGTGCAGGCTTGTTACTACCGTCGTGTAACTCGCTCGTGGTCGACACGCGTGCTCTTGCATGTTCAGTCATGTTTTCGGGACCGACTCGCGAGCACCTGCATCATCGAGGATAAAACACCCTAACCCTGATAATCGAGTGACGACGTGGCCTCACCTTGGCCCCCGTCTGTGCATCAGGGACAATGTATCTGGGCGGATTGGTTTGAACCATCTGCAGAACAGACCCCCTGGCCCTAATGCTCCTGGCCCCTCCCACAGGGTTAGGGGGTTAGGGATCCTTTAGTGCTAATCATCGCATGTTCAGGAATCTCTGGGAGAAGCCCAGCTTTTCCGCCCAGAGGGAGGAGGCGGAGCCTGCAGGACTGGGCGGAGGAGCAGGAGAAGGATGCGGATGATACTGGGAATTTCAAAGTTCGTAATAACAGGGAGCGGATCACAACTCTCATTTTTAGACCCTCTACCCAGACCAACCATGAAAGGGCGGCCATTTGCCCAGACCCCATTGGAACCCTCCAAGACAGCTCAAGCACTTCCCTTTCATTGGCACATCCGGAGTCCTTAGTGTTGATGCTCGCTTTATTTATGTTCTATCGGTCACGATGTCCAGGCGCGCGGCGTCACAGTTGATTGGTGTTGTTGTGCGCATTTCTCGTTGCTCCTTGCGGTGTAGCGGTCGCGCCGTTCAGGCCGGTCATGCCGATTGGGAGAGCATTGTCATTGAACGTTTTGTTGTTGTTGTTTGCTTTGCGTGTTCGTCCTGGCGGTCATTTAGCCGTTTCGTCCAGAAGCGCGACGTCAAGGATGCGGGTTCTATGGCGCAACCGAGAATGAGTTCTTGTTTGCAGTCGTTGCAGAGGCAAGCCTTTTCATACGAGTCGTGCACATATTAAAGGGTGTTCGCGGTTTCTCTTCAGATCGCTTGCCAGAGTGGAGTCAGCGGCGCGGATTGTGCAGTTGATTCGTCTGCGGCTCCAGAAGAGGTTTTGGCATGGGCTTGGGCGACCACCGTCCGTCTGTCGGGTGGGCTGGGTATGTGCTTGGATGCTTGCTAGGTCGCCGATTTGTCCGAGGCTCTCGTGCTGCTGTGCGCGCGGCCTTTTCCCAGCCCGGCATGTTAGGGCCGTGCGGTCTACAGCCAAGGTGTCGGCCCGCCGTGCACACCCTGCGCACCGCGGCCACCGGACCCAAGGAGTGCTGCTCCCTTTGGCGCTCCGCCTGGAGAGTCTTCGACGGACGACGGCTGCATGTCGCGGCCGCCAGGCCCAGAGCGTGCCGGCGTTCCTGGGGTACCCCGCCTCTCCGTTCTCGGGTGAGGCTCCCTTCCTTCTTCAGGAGGAAAAGAAACACACAGACACAATTAATCCTCGATTCCCTAGAAAATATGGGAAAATATGGGAAATGGGGGGGAAGACAGGAACCCAGAAAATATGGGAAAATATGGGGAATCTTTTTATTTGTGTGTATTTATTTGTGTGTCCTGGGGCCCCTTCACTTCTTTCCTTGCTTTCTGCAGCCCCCTTCGGGCGCCTGGCGTGCACGCCGCGTCCCGAGGGCCTCGTCGAGGTGGACCGGATCCAGGACTGGCTGGACTGCGTCCACGAGGTGGACCGCGACGTGTGCGTCTTCTGCGGCCCGGGCTGGGGGGTCGCTTGAAGTCTCCTCTCGCGGCCAGGAGCGAGAGCACGACGGACGTTTCTGTGGGGCCGTGTTGTGGCCTCGGGGGCCCTCGCCGGGCCCCCGGGCCGTCCAGGAACGGTTCTCGGCTACACGTAAGAGTGACCTTTCGCCGGAGTGACCCTTTGGTGCGGGCCCAAGGGGGCTCCCCGATCGCCGAACGCGATACAGTATTAGCGTCTTGCGCGCTCGTGTTTGGTCCCCCCGCGGCCCCCAATGAAGCGCGCACTCAAGGTCACTCTTACCCAGGGTCACTCTTGCGTGTAGTCGAGGTTCGGGATGAAATCGGGTGGGTCTAGACCTCTGGGGGTCGACGTTGTTTGGAAAATCCACGGCATCTGAGAGATGTGCCGCAGGCTGCTGGTTTGGTTCGGGCTGGTCCGGTTTGGCCGGTGCGGTCGGTTTATTGACGACGAGAGTTGCCACAGGTGCCAGCTCTAGGTCCTGAGGAAGCCCAGGAACGCAAGCCGCCACGTGTTGCGCCGTTCGAGGGCCGCCGCACGTAGCGCTACGCTGGTACGGCGATGGATCTCGTAAGCACTTGGACGCAGCGCAAACAAAGAGCAGTACATCTCCCAGTGCGGCCCGATCATCAGGATGCGCGGCAAGGATGCGAGGCCTTTCGACGTCCAAATTAGGGCCGAAGTTGAAGCCCATGGCTAACCACGGCCCTTGCGGTCTTCTGGAGTTTCGCTTGGTGCCATTTGGGACGTGCTGTGGCTGCTGATGTCGCCTTGATGCTCAGTAGGGATGTTTGTTCGACGTTCTGGAGCCCTCTTTTATGTCACCTTGGACGCCCAGAGAGAGAGAGAGAGAGAGCCGTTTTGGCATTACAGCTTCCTCCACAAATTTGGGAAATCGAGTTCCGCGGAGTGTGTTCTAAAACAGTGGCAGCAACAGGATGTTCCAACAGCTGCCACCTGATCAAAAGAGCAGCTCAAGCGCAGAATATGCACATGATTGAATGTGCGTGTCCAGGTGCTGCCGAACGACCGCAGGTCCCGCTGAAGCGGGCCACACGTAGGAGTGATCATTCGCTGGAGTAGCATTTGGTACTCAAGCAGTGGCGAGGCGTCCTGGCTCGCCCTTAGGCCCACCAGAGAATGTTCTAAGAAACTGTTGTGCGTTCCGCGAAGTGTTCTTAGAACATTTCTGGCTGGGACTGTTCTGTTTTATTCAAATGGGCGCTTGTTCTAAGAACATTGTTTTTAGTATTCGAACATTTTGGGGTTCTACGAACATGTCGTGGTAGGTCTATAGACATGTCGGGACGGTCGGTCCCCGATCAATTCGTACGTTGCCTTCGGGGGGAGCGCGCGGGTGGGGGGGGGAGGTCCCACGCACGCAGGCCGCTACTGCCGCATTGCACTTGACGGTGGGCAAGCCGCGCACCCAGTTTCACTCCTCGGCTGGGGCCGATCCACCCCTTGCGCGTAAGCCGATGGAAATGGGGTGGGTCAAGCAGTGGCGAAGCGTCCTGGCTCGCCTGGAGGCCTACCCAAGAATGTTCTAAGAACTTGTTGGGTTTTGCGCGAAATGTTTTTAGGACATTTCTGGCCAGGGCTGGCTTGTTTTAACACACCAGGCTTATGTTCCAAGAACATTGCTTTTGTTCTTAGAACATTTCTGGGTTCTAAGAGCAGTGTGTGGTAGGCCTATAGAAATGCTGGGACGGTCGGTCCCTGCTCAAGGGGGGGGCGGGGGGCGGGCAGACACTCAGAGGAACAGGGAGTCATGGTACTGCTACTTTCCCATGCTGCTCAGCAGCTGCTGCCCCGCACGGGCTCCGGCCAGCATCCAGGGCCGCCGTGCCCCGCAGAATCCCCTGGGACGTGCTCTGAGCCCCTCGCATGGCTGCGGCCTGCTCTTCCTGAGATTAAGTTGTGCCTGTCACCTGTCCCTCTACAGGAGAAATTTTCAAAAACAGTCGAACAACAGATAGTCTGGGGGCGATTTGTTTTACTGTTTCTGACCCTTTGGGAACCTTCTTCGAGTATTTTTTATTTTTCGTCCCAAATCCGCCTGTACGGGGACACTCCCCACCTAATCCTGGGCATCGCCCACGCCAGTTTCCAGGGTGGCCGGCGAGTTACGCTTTGCAGCCCAGGAGGAGGGGCAGCCAGGCCGTTCATGTCTTGGCTTGGGCGCCCTCCAGGCTGGATGGTGTGGGGTCTGACCTGGATCGGGACGGGCCCTGACCTTGGGGGCGCACGGAGTCGAGCTTAAGCTATACGCATCCCGACTCCACCGGCTGCGTCCCTCCGCGAAAACATCGAGTGCAGGCCGCATGGCACAACCTCTCGCTCCAAGATTATTGTATTATTCTCCACCTCTTCCTCTTCCTCCTCTCCCTCACCTTCCTCATCCTTCCCTTCGCCCTCCGCTTCTTCCGCCTCGGCCACCTCACTCGCTCACTCACTCACCCCATGACGACACCAAGGTCTCGTTTCCTCCTGGTCCTCCTCCTCCTCGTCATCGTTCCCCGCCTCCTCCCTACCCTTGTCTCTTCACATTCTCCCCCTCCCTCCTTCCTTCCCTCGTTCCTCTCGCCCTCCCCGACCCCTCAAGCTCTTTCCTCCCTCCCCTTCTTCAGCCCTCGTTCCCCCCCGCCCCTCGCGCCCCACCCCTCATGGGCAATGTTAGAAATCAGCTCAGGGGGGGACGCATCGACTCCCAATCGGCCATTCATCGCCGACAGGGGCTGGATAGCCCACCCCGCCACGGAGCACGCGGATGGGCCATCGGGTGCCTATCGCCGATCTGTCGGCGGTGTATTGGCAGCCCCCCGCTCACGGTGCCCCTCCCGGATCTCCAGCGCGTGTCTTGTTTCCACTGCGTGGGCCCCCTGAGGTCTGGACCCCTCCCCCAGGACTGGGTTTGTCCTCCTCGGTCCTCTGCTGACGGAGGCCGACAAAGTGTCAAACATTGCTCGGGGGCGGACAGCACCCCCACCCTGACACGTCGATTAGCGACCGCAGCCGTCAATCTCCAGGCTTGCGCCGGCCAGGTTTGAGCCCGAGGTCGTTTCCACTAAACCAAGTTTTGCGACAGGTGGTTCTGTCCATCCCCAAGTAATAGGTGCTCCTCGGACGGTGGAGGTGGTGTGAGAGCGAGGAGGAGTGGCAGGCGCGGCAGAGGGCGCGGGTGTTGATGCCGCCTGGAGCGAGGGGGGGGGGGCTGGGGGAGCAGGGGGAGGACTGAATGCAGTCACAACCGGCGTTAAGGATGGATGGACCCTTATCGCAAGGGCTTTTTTCGTCCCCTGGCTCTGGCCATCCTCAGCACGTTTGGGCGCGCCAGTCATGAGCTCTCGCCCTGCTCAAAGGGTCCTGCATCCTGAAACTCGCCCGCCGTGATCTTCTCGCGAACACTGCTGTTTTTCTTGCAACGTCGGATCTCAGGATCGACGCACGCAGCCTCCGTCTTCCAGATCTGCGCTGCGCGCCGGTGTGCGCGGAGTATTCTGCCGCCTGCTTGGCGGAGGAGGAGGAGGAGGAGGAGGAGGAGGAGGAGGAGGAGGAGGAGGAGGAGGAGGAGGAGGGAGGGGGAGGGGGAGTAGGAGGTTCTGTCCATCCTCGACTCGCCCGCCGTGATTCTCTCGCGAGGAGACGAGCTCAGGCCTGCGGGCCATCTCTCGGGTCGGACAAAAGGGGGGGATTGGGAAAAGGGGGGTTACGAAATCTGCTGCGTGCAGCTGGTCTCGGCCCCACCGAGGGGCCCAGTCCTCGATACGTAGCCGCCCCCGGCGCCGGGAGGCGGCGGGAAAATCGGCCACGTGAGCTGATTCTCAAACCCCCCCTTTGCTATCCCCCCCTTTCGCCCGGCCCGAGAGGAGGAGGAGGAGGAGGAGGAGGAGGAGGAGGAGGAGGAGGAGGAGGAGGCGGGTTTTGGCAGTGACCTCAGGCAGTACGTGCTATCCCCCCGTTTCGCCCAGCCCGACCAGGGCTCGATCTGAACTGTGTTTCCACGATTTTCCGAGGATTGTCTTCGTTTTGGACTTCGTTTCGCGGCGAGCATGGAACGAAGACATAACGACGCAAAACGACACCACAACGAAGTCACGGCGAAGTCACGGCGAAGGCGGGCTGGATCACGCTAGACATGTCGCCGAATCAATCCAAACGTTCTGAGATGATGACTGCGGGTTGCGAGCTGGCAGCTGGCATTCTTCAGGCAGAACCTTCACCAAGTACCTTTCGTGCTTGAGCTACCCATGTGGGGAAAGTCCTCGTTACGGCTACCCCACTCACCATCATCAACACCAAAACGAACATGGAAACCAGTGTTCAGGTCGAGACACCCCCCCGCGCTACGCTTAAGTCGGGCCTGTCTCTCTACGGGGGGGGAGATTCAAAACTAGCTTGCTTCAGAAAAGCATGGGGACCACCTGTGCAGCATTCTTCGGCCATTTCGGGTCATTTTCTTGTCTGTTTTGTCATTGTGCGTCCAACATCCCCCTCTGTAGGAGGACGGGCCCAACTGCTGCGCCTCGCCGCCCCCGCGGGCTCGCCTCGCGCGCCCCCGCGGGGCGCCCCCGCGCTCACCCCGCGGCTCGGCCCCGCGCGCGGCCGCCGCCCGGGGAGGCATCGACCCGGGCGAGGTCGTCCTGGAGGAGCCGGGGGCCTCTGCAGCCGAGGCGCTGGCATGCACGAACGAAATGGGCACGGAAAGAATGGGTACAATGCCCAACAGCAGTTCTTGTTCATTTTGAACAGGACTCGCTGTCCACACTGCCGCGGCCTGTGTCCCTTCGAGACAGAAGGCCGCCTGCCCAACAGCGGCCGCTGTTGGTTTGGGACAACATTTGTGGTTGGGCATTGTACCCGTTCTTTCCGTGCCCATTTCGGGCGTCCAAATCTGCAGCCGGGATGCTGGCAAAGAGGAATTCAGAAGCACGGTGGGGGCGCGCAGCAAGAAGCCATATGCTGTTCGTCAGGGTATCCTAGGCGTAAGTCGGGCCTGTCCCCCTACAGGGGGATTTTCGACGAACAAAACTAAACATACCCCAGAAATAGTCAAAACGAAGTTCAAACATACCCCAAAAATCAAAGATACCCCAGAAATAGGCGCTGGCAGAAAGGAAGTCAGAAGCACAGTGGGGGCGCGCAGCAAGAAACCATATGTCAAGCAGTGGCGAAGCGTCCTGGCTCGCCGATAGCCCTCCCCAACAGTGTTCTAAGAGCCTCTTGTGGTTTCCACGAAATGTTCTTAGAACATTTCTGGCGGAGTCTGGCTCGTTTTATCACATCGGATTTATGTTCTAAGAACATTGTTTTTGTTCTTAGAACATTTCTGGGTTCTAAGAACAATTCGTGGTAGGACTAGGAATGCCGGGACGGTCGGTCCCTGCTCAACGTGGGGGCGCGCAGCAAGAATCCATATGGTTTTCGTCAGGGTATCCTAGGCTTCTTTGCTCCGCGCGCTGCGCGTTGACTTCCCGCGGCCGTTGAAGGAGCTGCTGCGTTCCCGGTGCTCCCGGTCTCCCCTCGGGTGCACCTCGCGCGCGCGCGTTGAAAGAAGGAATTCTCATCGGAAGGTGGGCGAGGGCGGGCAAATCCGTGGCTGCTACAACGGAATTCCCGGATGAAAAAAAAACACATCTTCCCGGAATAAAGAACTCGGCACACTAAATATAGTAAACGGGTTGCTTCCCGGAAGAAAGAAACACGTTCTTGGAGCTCCGATTTAACAGCCACGGGTTTGCCAGCCTTTGCTTGGCTTCTGATCAGAAGTAGACAGCTTTTTTGTGACGATCGATCGTCGTAAAAAATAATGCTTACTTCTGAAGCCGAGCTCTGGCAAGATGGATGCACACAAGTCGAAGTATAAGGCAAGGGGCGATACTGCAGCGCGCGAATGTGTGTTTCGTTCCCATCGCCGTTTTGTCTCAGAGCCCTTCCAGCAGGGACGTGCATGCAACACCTCTCAGACTTACTCTTTGGAGAGCTTAAATCAAAGTCATGGTTTGGGTTTGGAAGGGGCTCGCTGTTTCTTTTCCTGAGATCCTGGCTTCGCATTTTTGTTCGAGCCGGGCATTTGCGCACCGTTTCGGGTCCCGGAGCCATCACATATCGACCCAGCTCGAAAGATGGTGCAGAAAGATGGGATCCAGGGCTCCGGTCATGATTTGCTGCGATGTTCAATTTTTTCGAGACGTCGGATCTCAGGGAAGTAAAAACCAGTGTGGTTTCGGAAAGGGTCTCTGTTCCTCAGGTCCTTCCATGGCTGCTCCTCTGGCCCTCTACGACCACCCTGCGGGTGATAAGGAGGTCCGGGGGGGGGAGGAACCAACGTCTCGCTCGATCGATCTCACTATCGATCTCACTGTTGGTCTCGCTCGATCGATCTCATTCGATCGATCTCACGATCGATCTCACAATCAATCTCCCTCGATCTATTTCATTCGATCGATATCGATCTGACTATCGATCTCACACTCGATCTCACTATCGATCTCACCATCGATCTCACAATCGATTTCAACAATAGTCAAAGAATAGTCAGGGGACGATTTTTCATTCCTTTTGAGTTTGCTTCATTTTTGGCCAGAGATTCCCCTGTAGGGGGACAGGCCCTACCAAACAGTATGTGATGATGCAATTGTTTTGCATGCCGTCGATGCGACGCTGCCCTGCGACGGCTGGAGACCCTGAGCCTGGTCGGTGACCCTCAGCTCCGACGCGGCGAACAAATGCAGTTTCACCACAGAAAACAAACAACCAGAGGATTGAGAAGAAGATCGATAAGGGTCAATACGGAGAACATATAAGGAGATCGATAAGGAGAAAAAGGAGAAAAGGATATCGATAAGGAGAACGTATAAGGAGATCGATAAGGAGGAAAAGGAGAAAAGGAGATCGATAAGGAGATCGACCGGGAACCCGGGAACCCGGGAACCTGGAACGAACCGAAATCGCGACTCCGGAACCACTGACCAGGAACCTGGAACGAACCCAGAATCGGAAACCTGGTAACCCAGCCGGCCACCAATATCGGCGGGAAATTCCCGCCAAATCATTCAATTTCCGCTAGGACCCCTTCAGCGCAAGCACTGATTGGGCAACGTCGTGAGGTATAGTCCGGAGCCCCAGACTCAATCGTCTCGTTGCATTCTTCGAGCTGGGTGGATCCGGGCAGCCCCTGGACCTGCCGACAGAGGGCAGAGTCGCCCGTTGTGGAAGCGTTGCAGTTTGCCCCGATCTCAGGCGAAGGGCAGGGAAGCACGGCGGCGCACAGATGATGTCGGGGCTCAAAAGACGGGGGTCAATGCAAACGGGGTTCAGCCAGAGCGCCGGATCCTGAAGGATCCTGCAGGGCCAGGGTGGTATTGACCCGGATTTGGGTGCAGGATCCTGCAGGATCCTTCGCATTGACCCGGGTTTGGGTGCAGGATCTTGCGGAATTCTGCAAGACCTGGCTGACCCGGGTCTGGATTGATCCGGGTCAGAAGATACCCGATCTTGTCGGGCCAGCCCTAGGGGGGGGGGGATAGGCTCACGGGGGGATGCAGCGACCCCCCATCGCCCATGCATCGCCGACAGGGGCTTGTGCCAGCCCCCCTCGCCCAATTCAACGTGCGGCTTCGTTACTTGTCGGGGGGGGGACAGGCCCGACTTAAATGTACAGTCAACCCGCATAGGAAGGATGTGCAGCCTTCCCAAGGGCACCCTTGCGTCCTCGCCTCCTCGGTCCATCCTTCGCCGCTTTCGCTGGCCGCGCCCCGCTCGGAAAAAGCTTCGAGGTGGATATCCGAGGCCCCTGCATCCTCGTGTCGCATCCTGATGATACGGGTGGACTGTATCGCCCATCCCAGGTCGATGAAGCCGATGTCGGGCCCGCCAGCCTTAAGGGGGGGGGGATAGGCTCAGGGGGGGATGCAGCGACCCCCCATCGCCCATGCATCGCCTACAGGGGCTTGTGTCAGCCCCCCCCGCCCAATTGAACGTGCGGCTTCGTTACTTGTCGGGGGCACGTCGCCCATCGATCGTCGACGTACACAGTTCTGTCGGGCACGTCTCTCTACAGGAGGAATATCCAGGGGACGATATTTTTGGTTGTGTAGTTGGACCAGTTTGGGGTATGTTCCTGGGGTGTTTTTTTATGTTTCCTCCAGAATCACACTGTAGGGGGACAGGCCCGACCTAATGCGAACTAGAAGAAGGAAATACCACATCAACATAAACTTTTGGCGCTCCGCGCGGATTTCTTGCGTCCGCGCTGGGCCCCCCTCCCTGGCGCGCGGAGCGCGCCAGGGGCGGCGCCGGAGGCGCCGCCGGGGGGGGGGGGGGCAGGCGCGGAGCCAAGAAGACCGCGCGGTGCGCCAAGTTGATGTTGCATTTTCGTCTTTTCTTCTTCTCTCGCCCCCTCCTCCTCCTCCTCCTCCTCCTCCTCCTCCTCCTCCTCGGGTCGCCTACGGCCCCGGGGGGAAACCGTGCAGCAACCCCTCCTCGCCTCCCCTCCGCCCCAGGAGGCTCCCCCAACGCCCCAGGAGGAGGAGTTCCTGACTGCAGCGTGCCGCTGCTTCCCCAAGCAGCGCTTCCTTCCTAGGAACTGGGCCTGGCAGCCAGCGGTGTGGCCAGCTTGTCGCCGCCCAGTGCCGCTCGGGAGCCTCGAGGCGGGGGTCAACGCGTTAACTTGCCATCGCTCGGACGTGTGCATTTTTCTTCTGGCGAGGACCATCGAGGAGCATCCTTAATCATTTGGCGAAACAACCACGCACGACATCGAAAAAAGCACAGGGAATGGACGTCCGAGCGATGGCCAGTTAACCGGGGGTCAGCCAGAGCGGCGGATTTTGCAAGAGCCTGCAGGGCCAGGGTCGCCTTGACAAGGGCTTGGGTGCAGGATGCTGCAGGATCGTGCAGGATCCTTCGCGTTGGCCCGGGCTTGGGCGCAGGATCTTGCAGAATTCTGCAAGGCCTGACTGACCCGGGTCTGGATTGACCCGGGTCAGGAGATCCCAGTTTTTGTTTCTCTTCCCAGATCTCCGACGTCCAGTTTCTTGGGTCCTCACTTCGTGGGCCCAGGGCGATATGGACATCTACCCTGGGACAAGTTCTTCATCCCCCGAGCAGGGCTGCGTTTTTTGTTTACGGTCCCGAGGCCGAAGATTGCCAGAGACCTCCCGTTGTGATTCTTCTCTGCTAGGCGAGGAAGAAAAAAACGCCATAAGCATAAACTTTTGGCGCTCCGTGCGGATTTCTTGGATCTGCGCTGGGCCCCCCAGCGGCGACTCCAGCGCCGCCCCTGGCGCGCTCCGCGCGCCAGGGAGAGGGGTTTGGCGCAAATCCAAGAAAACCGCGCAGAGCGCCAAAAGTTAATGTTTATGACATTTGTTCCTCTAGTTTGGCCACGCTTGCGATTGCACTGCAATTCCTTGCACGCCGGACCGCGCCGCCAACGCTTGCAGTGCAGTGGTCTGGCTAGGCCACCGGCCAAACCATATTGCAGTGCAATCGCTCGCGCGCTCTGTCGGGTGCTTCGCAGAACGGGTGCCCCAGAATGTCGCTCGCAATCGGGTGCGTTTGTTTTTTCTCTTCTCCTCGCGAGAGGCGGCGGAGGAACGTCCTGCTCCGCGGGCTCCCTCCCCCCCCCGCCGCCAGGAGTGCCAGCACGGCCCCCTCACGCTCGCGCGCTGCTGCCTGCAGTGCGGCGGCCTCAGCTGGCCACGCCGGGCCGCGTGGCTGCTCCCCTGGCGAGCTTGCGGCGGCCCCTCCCTCCCTCCCTCCCCACCGCCCCCCCTTCCTCCCTCCCTCCTCCTCGCCCTCGCTCTCCCCCACCGCCCTCCCTCTCCCCCCGCCCTCCTCCCGGGAGGGGGGGGAGGCGGCGAGGGGGAGAGAGGGGGGAGGCGAGGAGGCAGGCGGGCAGAGAGGCGAGGAGGGAGCAGAGAGGAGAGGCGGGAGGGAGGGAACGGAAGGAACTCCATCCCGCGCCCCTCCTCCTCCTCCTCCTCCTCCTCCTCCTCCTCCTCCTCCTCATCCTCCTCCTATCTCATCCTCCACCTCCTCCTCCACCTCCTCCTCCTCCTATCTTCTCCTCCTCCTCCTCCTCCTCCTCCACCTCCTCCTCCTCCTCCTCCTATCTCCTCCTCCTCCTATCTCCTCCTATCTCCTCATATCTCCTCCTATCTCCTCCTCCTCAGGCTCCACGGATCCGAACGCTGCGTCGTCGCGTGCCTCTCGCGTGCGACGGGTGGGGCCCCGACCCGCCCCGGAGCCGGAGGGTCTCGCGGTGCTCGCGGGCCAGGCGCCGATCGGTCGGCGAAGCGCCGCCGATTCCGGAAGCCTACCGGGGCGAGCCCGCCAGGGTCAAGTCGGGCGTGTCCCTCCCTCTCCAGGAGGAATTTGGGAGGGGAAGAAACACACACCGCCACCTTGGATCGTCGATCGCAAGGAAAATGTGCGAACGTGTGGGAAGTGGGGGGAAGACAGAAACCCAGAAAAGATTGGAAGCATATGGGGAATCCTGTTATTTGTGACTATTTCTTTGTGTGCTCATGGACTCCTTCAGGAATGTTCAAACACAGTTCGAAAAAATATGCAGGGGAGTTGTTTGACTAGTGTTTAGCATTTTTTGTGTATTTTCTCTTGTATGTTTTTGCGCCCAAAAATCCGCCTGTGGGGGGACACGCCCGACCCAACGCTATGGGGCCACATGCGAACCCTACCCCTAACCCTCACGAGCTCTGAGAGGGAGGGTGGGGTTGGCTTCGTTTCTGGGGGAGCTCCCGAGCGAAGGGTGAGCCCCGCCCTCCCCCTCAGAGGTCGTGGGGGGCATGGGGGCAGGGCTCGCCTGCGGCCCCCCTCGCCGCCCGCATGCTCCCCCCCCCCCGCGGGAGAGGAGGGCCGCCCGCGGCGGCGGCAGCGGCGGAGGCAGGGGTGGCGCCCCCCCCCCCCCCTTGGGGTGGGGGGCGGTGCGCGCGCTCGCGCTCGGAGATCTAACAGCACAGGCTCGGTGGCGGGCGCTGTCTGGCCGTGCCTCATGATGTTCCAGCCTATGTTGGCCTTGGTCACGAGAAAGAATCGGGTATAGCCAGGACCCCGGGTAAGGGGACCCGGTTAGTGGTAGGGCCCTGGGGCTTCTCAATTGGCCAGATTCACTAAACCAGGTTTGCTGCAACTGGTGTTTTTCGGGTGACGGCAGTTCCGGTTAGTGGAAATGGGACGGGGGGGCGCCCCTGGTACAAACCACTAAACCAGGTTCCACTAAACCCAGTTCTGCCAACGCCCGAAAGAATTTCGAGCCTCGAAAAAGTACCGAAACGGGAGGGTTTCCACGTGCTGGGCCCTGGGAGGCACTCGTCCGACACTGTTTCGACGCTCTTTCGACGCTTTGCCGGGTGCTCGAAATTTCTTGTGGGATGTGGTCCTTAAGTACGATGGTAGCAACGTAAGCCATGCCGCCTGGTCAGCGACATTCCGTTCAGGTGATGGTGCTGAATTCTCGGTCCGGCATGCCTTTCTGCGTACCATCCCCGAGATCCGCCGTTGCGAACGGAATTGCGCAATCGCGAGGCAATCGCGACCAGCGCCCTAGACCCCCTCTTTTCCGCGGCGCGCAGTCGAGCCTGCTCGATCTCTGACGGCCTCGGAACCCCAAGCTGAGCGAGCCAACGCCTGGCGAGAAAGAATGCCACGCCCGGATCTCAGGGGTACTAACATGTCCTCCTACGTTCCATGCGTTATCTTTGGTAAGTCTTCGGGTTGCACACAGACAGCTCCCACACTGAGCCCCAGCTGGCCTCAACGGGCCCCCAAGGTGGTAGTCCCAGCCGGGTAGCCCAGGCCGGTCTCAACACCTTGGCGCGCTCCGCGCCCTGAGATCCGACCCGCTTGTCGGGATCCCGCCCGCCCGATCCGCCCGATAGGATGCGCCCGCGCGACCCGCCTGTCAGGGTCCACCTGCCCGGCCCGCCCGTCAGGACCGTCGTCGTTGTCGTTGCCCTCATCGTCGTCTTCGTCGTTGTCGCCCAGGTCGTCCAGGTCGTTGTCGTCGTCGTCGTCGGCGGCGGCGGCGGCGTCGTCGCTGTCGTCGCCCTCATCGCCATCGCTTTCGTCGCCCTCGTCGTCGTCACCCTCGTCCTCGTCCTCGTCCTCGTCTTCCCTGTCGTCGTCGTCGTAGTCGTTGTCGCCCAGGTCGTCGCCCTCGTCCTCGTCCTTCTCGTCGTCGTCGTCGTCTTCTCGTGCGCGTGCCAAGGCGAGGAGCTGCTGCGACCGCCCGGCGCCCGCGAGTCGGGCCTGGTGCGCTCGTGCTCCGCGCTGTCGGAGGCGGGCCCGCGGTGGCGGCGGACTGGTCTGATGTTTCCTGCATGGATGTTCGGGGGCGACAATGATGGGGGTGATGAGTAGGGGGGGTGGATATCTTGACGGGGGCCATGAGATCTCCCCAGATTTCATGGCGCCCCTTCTTATTTCATTGCGTCCCCGCCCCACCCCCGGGCCGCGCACATGCCGCCAGCCATGATTTGCGCCCCCCCCTCTTGGACGCCCCCCTCTTTGGCCGCCCCCGAGATGTGGGTGCGGCAGTCAAGTGTTTGGTTACGCTTGCGATTGTACTGCAACCCCTTGTACGTCGGACCGCGCCGCCAACGCTTGCAGTGCAGTGGTCTGGCTGGGCCACCGGCCAAACCATATTGCATTGCAATCGCTTGCGCGTTCTGTCGGGTGTTTCGCAAAAGGGGTACCTCAGCATATTGCAATAGGTTGCGAGATTGTCACTACGTGCCGAAATTAACCGGCCATACGCACTGCACAAACCACTGCGCTGCAACCGCTTAAGCGGCAAGCGATTGCGCTGCAACCGTTTTATCGAAAAGCGAGCACTGCAACAGTTTAAGCCACGATCGATTGCAGTGCAACAGTTTAAGACCCAAGCGATCGCATTGAGTTTGCTCCCGACCCCTTTGTTATCGACTCCCCTGCGCGCTGTGAATTCTCTGCCGACGACGACGACGGCGCACGCGATGGCGACGACGACAGCGACGGCGACGGCGACAACGACTCGTTGTACGACGACGGCGACGACGAGGGCGACCACGACGACGGCGACTGTGGTGGCGGCGACGGCGATGACAATGACGGTGACGATGCGACGTCGACGACGATGGCGACGACGACAACGACCACGACGACGACGACGACGACGACAACGATGGAGATGATGGTGATGATCACGACGATTACGATGATGACGATGCCCGTCTGCTGCTGTGGCTGCTCCTCTTCCCCCACCCCTTCTCGCAGTGGCGAAGAAGTCACGACGGGAGGTGATGTTCCCCGGAGGCCATCGTATGCGTTCGTTGGTTCCTGGAGGCCTTCCCAGGTTCCAGATGCCCTCCAGCAGCTGCGCCTCGCCAGGGGCCTCCTCGGGGGTGCCTGGATCTTCGTGAACGGCCGCCGAAGACCCGAGCACTGGCCCGAAGAACTCACCGCCTCCCGTCGTGTCCCGTCGTTTCATATATTGCGACGTGAGGTTTCTTAAAGTTTTCAGCCGGGCCCCGGGACCGTCAATAAGAAACGATTTAGGATGAACATCTTGTCTCGGGGAAGGGGTCCAGATCTCCAGGGGTCCACGCTGGGTTTTCTGGGCTTTCAGCCTCGAGTTTGAAAACGCGCCTGATTCGATTCAGCCCTCGTCCACCACGCGGGCATGAACACCTCCGTCGGATCGGGCGCGGGGCTTGGCCGAAGGCGCTCACCCGTGCGCAGTGGGCGGCTCCTGCGGCACGTCAGTTTTTTTACGGGCGCAGCCCGTAATTTGATTTTCGGGAAGTTGACTGACTGACTGACTGACTGACAGAACTGACAGAACTGACAACTGAATTATGAATCACCGAAGCCGTTAGTAGGCAGTTTTATTTCCGGGATGAGAATATTCGTTGGCAGTTTTGAGTCAGGGAGTCGAGGATATTGCATTGGCAGGTGTGGGCCAAGGGGTTGCGGATATTTCGCTGGCCGCTTGAAGTCAGGGCGGTGAGGATATTTCGCCCGCAGTTTCAAGCGAGGGGTGTGAGGAGGTTTCGCTGGCCGTTTTAGGCCAGGGGCGTGGGGATATTTCGCTGGCAATTTTAAGCGAGGGCAGTGAGGGTAGTTCACTGGCAGTTTTAAGTCAGGGGGGTGAGGGTATCTCGCTGGCAGTTTTAGGCCATGGGGGGGGAGGATATTGCGCTGGCAATGTTTAGCGAGGGCTGTGAGGATATTTCGCTGGCAGTGTAAGTGAGGGCGCCGAGGAGACTTCGCTGGCAGTTCTTCAGCGAGGTGTGTGAGGATATTGGGCTTGCAGTTTTGGGCCATGGGGGTGATGATATTTTGCTGCCAGTTTTGGGCCGGGTGAGGATATTTCGTTGGCAGTTTTAAGTGAGGGGTGTGAGGATAGTTTGTTGGCGGTTTTAAGCGAGCGTGCTGAGGATGTTTCGCCGGCAGTTTTGAGCGAGGGGTGTGGGGATACTTCGCAAGTAGTTTTAAGCGAGGGCTGTGGGGATATTTCGCTGACAGTTTCAGGCCAGGGGCGTGAGGATGTTTCGCTGGCAGTCTTAAGCGAGGGCGGTGAGGATTCTTCGCTGGCAGTTTTATGCCAGGGGGGTGAGGACATGTCACTGGCAGTTTTAAGCGAAGGGTGTGAGGATATTGCGCTGGCAGTTTTAAGTCAGGGCGGTAATGATGTTTCGCTTGCAGTTTTATTCCAGGGGGCCCTGCGCTGCGCCAGTATTTATGCTCGCCCCGTGACGTGGGGTTGCCGGGGGGCCAAGGGGCGTGTTGGCCGTTGTTTAGATCTCGCACTCCATTCCACCGCATTCGTTCCAGCGCTGGTTGGGCTTGAGCGTCCTACTTCTTGGCATCGCTTGGACATGTGCATGTTCTCGGCAGGGATCATTGAGGAGCATCCTGGATCATCCTGCGGGAGAAAAGAAAACCCACGAAACAGAAGAATTCGGGTTGGCCCAAAAGGGGGTCCAGCGACAAGGGGGTGGTGCAATAGATGTGGTGCAATAGATTTGTGGGGTTACATTGCATGTGGGGCGTGCAACAAATCCCAGGGCGCAGATGTATTGCTGGATTTTCGTGTGCAATACATTACTTGCAGTACAATGCACTCCAATTCTCCGGCGCAGTACATTTTCAATAGAATTGCCCCAAATCTGTTGCACCACCCCCTTTCAGCTGGACCCCCTATTGGGTCACCCAAAAGAATGCAAGTGGAATGGACGTCCGAGCGATGGCGAGACTTGAAGGGAGGAGAATCCACCTCGACCCTCACAATTGACGCTCACTAGAGGGTCCTGAGCGTTCACTGCACAGGTTCCAACTCCTTCCTTCCTTTGGGTGCGTTTCCCAATTGCTTTTTTTTGGGCGGGGTGCTTAAATTCTGGGAACCCTCCCGGGGGACGCTAACCAGGGCCCTTTTCGGCTCCCCCCCCTCGCGCGGACAGAAACAATATACAGTAGGAAGCAGAAAGCAGTACTGTAACAATGGAAACTGGAAACTGGAAACTGGAACTGGTGCAGGGAGCAGCAATCTGAATCCTCGCAGCCTGATGGCCCCGCAAGGGGGCCGGGGCCGGCGGATCATGAGGGCTTTTTATCTTCTGCTCTCCACTTCTCCGCCTCCCCCCCTCCCGTGCAAGCTGGCCGTAGCGTCCGCGTCCTCTCCACCTCGCCATTTGTCAGCGCGAAGGCGTCGCCCAACTTCACGGTCGCATGGCCGAACGTAGAAGATTCTCCGCCTCCCCCCCTCTTGTGAAAGCTGGCCGTGTAGCGCACGCGCCCTCTCCGCCTCCCCCGGGACGGCCTCGCCCGCGCGCCCACGGAGGGGGGGGGGGCCCTTTCGCCGGGGGCGGTGGCCTCGGGCGCGGGCCCGCTGGGGCCCCGGCCCCTCTCCCACCCGGGCTCGTCGCCCCCAGCAGCCCTCCCCCTCCTCTCCCTCCTCCTCCTCCTTCTACTCCTCCTCCTCCTCCTCCTTCTCCTCCTCCTCCTCCTCTCCTCCTCCTCCTCCTCCTCTCCTCCTCCTCCCCTCCCCTCTCCTCCCCTCTCCTCCTCCTCCTCCCCCTCCTCCTCTCCTCCCCCCTCCTCCTCTCCTCCTCCCCCTCCCCCTCCTCCTCCCCCTCCTCCTCCTCCTCCTCCTCCTCCTCCTCCTCCTCCCCCTGTGCAGGCCCTCTGCCGCCCTCGCGCAGCTCTCCGGACAGACCTGCCCTGACACGTCGATCAGTGAATTGGCCGTTTTCGGTTCGCGAGAGGGCGTCGCGGCCGTCACTTTTTTGCGGGTCCAGGTCCGTCGGTTCGTCTGGACGCCCGAGATGGGCACGGAAAGAATGGGTATAATGCCCAACAGCAGTTCCTGTTCATTTTGAACAGGACTCGCTGTCCACGCCGCCGCGGCCTGTGTCCATTCGAGACAGAAGGCCGCCTGCCCAACAGCGGCCGCTGTTGGTTTGGGACATCATGTGTTGTTGGGCATTGTACCCATTCTTTCCGTACCCATTTAGGGCGTCCAAAGACACGTCGATTAGTGAATTGGCCGTTTTCGGTTCGCGAGAGGGCGTCGGGGCCGTCACTTTTGCGGGTCCAGATCTGGCGGTTTCGGTCTTGGGCCGTTCTCACTAAAGGGAGGTCTGCTCAAGGGAGGTTTGCCCACCGCCGATTCAGCGTTCCGGGGGTTGCCAGCAAAGTGACTGGTCGGTTTGAGAAGTTCTAGGCCTCCTAGATGGGGTCGGAGTGGATGGGCTCGGGGGATCGCGCCGCATCGCCGAGGCATCGCCGATGCGGCTCGATGAACAGCCCGATTTTCTTCACGTCGCCGTCGCCGATGAATCGCCGACGTCGACGCTGCATCGCCAGTGCATAGCCAGTGCATCGCCGATGCATTGCCGATGTATCAGCAATGAGGCGCGATCTTCCGACCCCAGCTGCTCCGACCCCTTCTAGGAGGCCTCGAATAATTTCCGGCGGTAGGGAGTGAGCAACGCTTGGTTTCGGGCAGCCGCATTGGACTCCTGGACTTCTTTGCGCTGGGGAAAATCACGAACGGAGGTGTTTCGTCATTTTCAGCCTCTGGTGGCCCCCGCTGGCCCACAAATATTCGCGATGAAGAACCGATGGTCCAGATCTCGGGTCGGGGGTTGCTAGAGGTGCCCCTGGCCCAAGGTGCCCCCAGCTTTTTGCTCAATCTTGCAGCTCCTGGGGCCCTCTGGGCCTCGTGGGGGGGGGGCCTGGAGGCCGTGGGGGGGCTCTTTGCGGCCAGGGGCACTTTAGCACCATCCGAACGTTGGTCAGCCTTATTCGAATCAATTCCAGCATGCAAGGAACATCTTAGAGTTCCTCGCGGATTTCTTGGATCTGCGTTGGGCCGTCTTATGCTGCTGCTGCTGCTCCTCCTCCTCCTCCTCCTGAGAAACCGGTATCGTTTAACCAATCCCTATATCCTCCATCCCCATCCCCTTCGAGACCCCCACCAAAGTACCTCCCCAGTCGGGGATACACCCTTCGAAACCCGCAGGGAACGGCCCAAACCCCCATCTAGGGGGGTAAATCGGCCAGCGGGGCCCAGGCCACGCCGCTGGGGATGGGGATCTGCCAAACGATACTCGAGAAAGCTGGCGGAACGCTCACCACTTGGCACTACATCGCGTCCCAGCATTCCGTGGGGGGCACGCGGGCCGACGGGGAGGCCACGTGGGGGTACGGCAGAAAGGTTGTGTTGTTTCTTTTGGGTTAAGTCGGGCCTGTCCCCCTACAGGGGGAGTTTCGACGAAAAATAGAAAATGCCCCCAAACATAAAAAATAGTTCAAAAATAGTCGGGGGACTATTTTTTGAATACTTTTTGGCCATTTTGGGGCATGTTTGGGGTATGTTTCATTTGTCGTCGAAAATCCCTCTGTAGGGGGACACGCCCGACATTACCTTTGGGAGAATCTGCCCCCTCCCCGACTCCAACCTGGTGACAATGATGTGGAGCCTGCCCTCTCCAACACTGTTGCGTCAGAAACGCGCGAATAGCACGAATGTGGGATGCCCCTGATTTTTCGCTAGCATCTGCAATGAAAAGCGTCTAAACGATCTCTGTCCGCCTTGAGAAGCCACACGGAATCTAAAGAGTACCCCCCACCCTTTTCTCCCCCACAAGGCAGGCTCGTGTCGTGTGGACGCGGCGGCGACCCCAGCGCGGGCGTTCAAGGCTGAATTCCGCCAGTGGCCCAGACTCGTCCGACACTGAACGATCTGCGCCATCGGAAAAGAGCTGCGATCGTCCTCCGCGGTGCCTGAAGCAGCAGCCGATGTTATCGCGACGCGTATTTGCCGCATCTCTTCACCCACTTCATCCCCCCTTGCCGTCCCCCGCTTCCCCCGTGCCAGTAGAAGTCAACTTCTAGGAGGGTGAAATCGGCACCTGCGCCAGATACACATCTATATACATATATATATATATATATATATATATAACTCAATGAATGAATATATATATATATATATATATATATGTATCTGTATATATATAGCAATATATATATGTATGCATATATATGTATATATGTATAGGTGTGTATGTTTGTTCTATTTCTATGTGTATGTTCGTGTCCGAGAATTAATTTGCCCAAGCTGGTATAGTTTTGTTTGTCTCCGTTCAATCCCGCTGAATCTTGCTTAATCTTGGGCTGGAATCTGAGTTGATCCAGAGTTGGTCTGAGCTGAGCAGCTCGAAATTTTTAGACCGAAGATCTCCCAGAAGTTGCCTCCTAACGGCCGTCCCCACCCGCCGCCCGTTGAGGCCCTCAGCTGCGGGGTTTTAAGAAGGATCCATCCGTTCCAGACCGTTCCGGAACGCTCTCACATTCCCGAATGCTCTGAGAAGGCCGCGGCGCCCGACACATTTTCCAGAGCCGCCAGATCTCACCGATTCTCGATTTATCCTCACCCGATGTTGTCCTCATCTTTGTTTTCGTCTTATCCTCGTTGCCGTCCCCACCAGCCGCCCGTTGAGGCCTTCAACCCCGCGGCCCAGCCCCCCCGCCACCCCGGGCTGCCCACCGGCTCCCTGCCGGCCGCGGGTCGTGCGGATGCGAGGAAGTCCCTCAGAGGGGCACGAAGATCCGCAGAGGGCACTTCCGGACCAGGCCAGTCCTTGTGAAAGTGGGTATTTGTGGATTCCCAGCTCCCACATTTCGAGCAGTGGCGAAGCCTCCTGGCATGCCCATAGGCTTACCAAAGAATGTTCTAAGAACCTTTCGGGGTCTGCACGACATGTTCTTAGAATCTTTCTTGCTGGGACTGCCAGTTCTCACAACATGTTCGGGATTGTTTTTGTTTTTCGAACATTTTGGGGGTCTGAGAACATGTCGTGGGAGGCCCTCAGTGGGCCCCGGAAGCGGCAGGGCTGTTTTTTCACCGCTTCCAAAAAATGTCTCTTGAAAATGGAAACGGCAAAAAAACGGCGACTGGAAACAGCAAAAACACGGCTTCAGGATTAGATTCGGAGCCAGCACCGGTCAAACAACGGCGACGGAACCGGTAACAAAATCAACGGCGTCGGAACCGGCAACAAAGAAACGGCAAGGCGGAACCGGTAACAAAACGGCCCCGTCGTTTCCAGGGCCCACTAAGGGTAGGCCTATTCAGCCACGCGCAAAGGGGGGGGGGGGGGGGCTTCTTAGAAGCACCCCTGCTTCTTCCTGCTTCTTAGAAGGGGCGGGCCTTATCTATAGATGTACGGCCGTCGCCTTCTAAGAAGCAGCCTGCTTCTAAGAAGCCCTCCCCCCTCCCCCCACCCCCGTGTGCGCGCCGCCAACCTATAGGAATGCCCGGACGGTTGGCCCCTGCTCAAACATTCGCCTGCGTCCTGGTTTCGCCTCGAGGCCTCCCGGGAGGTGCCGCCCCGCGCAGGAGGCTTCGGGGGCGGCAGAGAGCGGGGCGATGATGACTAATTGGGGGGGGGGAGATCGTGGCGTGGGCCACGCCAGTTCCCCAGATTTCATGGCGCCTCTCCTTACTTCATTTCACGGCCCTGCCCCCCCCCCCATGATGAATACGAGTGGGGGGGGGATACCGTGGCGTGGGCCACGCCAGTTCCCCAGATTTCATGGCGCGTCTCCTGACTTCATTTCACGGCCCCGCCCCCCGCCCCCCCCTGGGCCGCGCACGTGCCGCTGGCCACGATTTGTACGCCCCCGCCTCGCGGACGCCCCCCTCCTGCCCACCCCCGCGCAGGAGGAGCCTCCCGCCGCGGGGCCGCGGGGGGGGGGGGAGGGGGGGCCCGCCGCGCGCGCGGGGGGAGGGGCCCGCCGCGGACGGGGCCCACCTGCCCATCCTGCTGCGCGGCGGGGACGAGCCGCAGGCGGGGGTCGCGGGGCGCCGGGGGTCCTGGCGTTAAGTCGGGCCTGTCCCCCTACAGGGGGATTTTCGACGAAAAATAAAAAATACCCCCAAAATAGTTTAAAACACAAACAACATCCAAAAATAGTATGGGGACTATTTTTTAACATATTTTTTGCCTTTTTGGAGTATGTTGTGGGTATTTTCATTTTTGTCGTCGAAAATCTCCCTGTAGGGGGACACGCCCGACATAATCCTGGCGCCGACGTTGCCGAGCGGATTGCGTGCGGAAAACGACAGGGGTGGGCCTGGAGTGTCCTGGAGAGTCTCGTTCCGGATTTCGAGGTGACTTTCGCGTGGATTCTTCTTAGCCCGGAATGAGGACCAAAAACAAGCAACGCGCAATTCTTTTCGTTTTTCGCTCGCCGCTTCGGGAAACAAATCCACGCAGAAATCCGCTGCAGCACGTCTGCAAGGCCCGTGCAACGACAGGGGGTCAAGCAGAGATCGGCAGCGTCCTTGCATGCCCAGACTCAACAGAGACAAGAAGCACCACTACCACCAGCTAATTAGGGGGGCGGCTGCCCCACCCCCTCGAGCCGGTGGCACCTTGTTCCGGTCATGCCTCCAGCGAGTGCTCGGAAGGAGATGCCACCAGCTCGAGGGGAGGGAGCGGCC